AATTTATAGACGGTATAAAAAAAAAATATAGATGGTACCAAAATTCGGATATCAAAATAAATCATACATTATTTTTCCGAGGAACAATGAATACAATGATTAAACCCATCTTTGATTAAACAGTGATTTATACAGCATCCAGAATTATCGAGTATATGAGGATCTTCCCATTTGTCTGCATTAGCACGTAACCTATTATAGTACTGGATCACATAATACCCTCTGGTATGTAATGGACAACGACCAGAAGTTGAGCCGGTAGGCTTACCACAATCAGTGCATGGAACTCGTCTTTTAGCTTTCCAATGTATATGACAACCTTCAGGACGCATACAAGGTTTACTGCAAACTTTACCGGAATTATGATAAAACGGACAAGTATATTCTCCAATCATAGCCATTTTTTTTAAAAATATAGTAAAATTATTATTTAAAGAAAGATTTTTCTAATATTAATATATAACAATTTTATTAGTTAATCATATTATAACAAATATTCAAAATGAGTACCCAAGAAAATAACGCAATATCAAAAAAAATGAGCAATCAAGAAACTACTGAAATAACTCAACCGACCTGGCAAGAAATTGCAAAAGCAATCAACGAAGTTGTTGTAGCCGGTTTTTATTATAAAAAATCCAAAGATGACAGTTTTCTAAAAAAATATAAAAAACTATATACGGATATACATCAACATGAAGAACCTCAAGACTGTATAATTAATCAAGCAAAAACATTATTTCCTAATAAAGAAAAATATTTTCAAATGAAAGAACAATTTAAAAACTGGCACAAATATGAACCAAGAATTTTAAAAACCGTCGAAAAGCTTAATAGTATGTATTATAAATTAGCTAAAGAATATTTTGATAATGAGGAGACCCTTTTAAATGATGCAGACGCATTTTTAAATTCCGAGTAAAACCCAATCAGGGGGATATTCAATATTTTTAACAACCATTAATTGTTCGCGAGCAAAAGACCTTTCAGGCCCATCACCATTTTCATCCATAAGCCAGTATAAAATGGGCTGATTTTTTTGTATCAACACTTTTTTGATATTATAAACTTTCGGGGACCAATTCATATCGGTTATACGTCTTTTGGTAAAGCCAAATTCTAATTCCCCTGGCTCAAGTAAATATAAAACAGAATCTTTGTAAGTTAAACGAACTTCATCAAAACCAATAGGTCTACGATGTTTTATAGCAGGATCAGCAATTATTTTTTCACCTTTTAATACCCTCTTTACAGCTTCATTAGGTGACATATGAATTAATCGGGTAGGAGTATCGTTATAAATGTCATCATTATTACAAAGATCTTTAACCCAAGATGTACATCTTTCAGATAAAGGTAAAAGGAAGTCAACTGCATCCTGACGAATATAAGCATGTTTTTCAAATTCTTGATGATCACGTTCACCAATTGCATTACTACGTTTGGATTTTTTGGGATCGAAATATACGTCATGACTTAATAATAAATCTTTACACTCAGCTAAATACTCAGTACCTTTATCAGTTCTAAAAACGTTAGGCCAAGAAAGTGAATGACTAGAATCCTCATAAATTTTCTTAATTGCTTTAGCAACTGTAGAAGCTGATTTATTAGTTAATGCAAAGCTTTTTCGATATCTAGTTGCCACATCTTTTATTACAAGTCTATATTTAAAAAGTCGATTTCCAATTTTATCATGAGGCATAGGAGTAAGATCGGATTGATGCATTTCGTTTAAATTTTGAATTCCATTAAAAGATGCATACTGAATAAAACGTGGTCGAGGTTTATGAATCAAATACAATATCTGTTTTTCAAGCCATTCTTTTATATCGTTTAATGAAAAATTACAACCAGCTTTTTTACATGCATAATGCATTTTTTCAACCGTTCTATAATAACCTTCAGGTTTATAGTAAATCTCACGCAAAATAATATTACGTTCTACAGAAGGATCAATTGATATTATAGGTACTAATGCCATCTTTAGAAGAACAAATCAACAAATTAGAAAAAATACTATCTATTAATGAGGCATACATTAATTATTTGGAAAAAGAAATTACAAATCGGGATGAAGAGCTAGAAGAGCTAGAAATTATTCGTAAAAATAATTCAGATTTACAAATACGCCTTAAGAAAGCATTAACGGATATAGAGTATAAAGAAGAATCTTTGCTTATTTTAGATAAACGAATATATGATCTTCAACAAGAAATAATTAACCTAAAAAATAGAATTCAAAATATAACATCCCGAAAAAAAAAGTTAGCCATGGCTCGAGCACCTAATGCAAATGAGATCCAGACCCTTGGTGAAGCAGTTCGAAATGCATTCAATAATATCAATAGTATATTAAATAGAGTACCTGCTATACCTCGAAATATTGATGGCAAATTTACTGATATTAGAAATGCCGCAAATAGGCTCCAAGAAATTTCAAACTGGGAGACCAATAGGGCAAATCGAGCCCAAGCCCAAATCGATCAAGATGCCAAAACTATTAAAAGATTAAATGCAACGGCACGCATAGCTGATGAGGAACTAAGTTTGATGACTAGAGTTTATCATAATGAAAAAGAAGCACGTCGCAATATGCAATCCTTATACAATAAAAAGCATAGGCGGGTTGTTGAGCTATTGCGTGAAAAATTTGCTGCCCAATTATTATGCACTAATAGGCGAAAAAAATTGCAACAAAAAATAAATACGTGTCAGAATGATTTATTTCTTAGTGATATCCAAATTGATACTAAATGGGGCAAATGGAAAAATCGATGCCGAAATTCTGAGCAAATAATTATGAATTTGAATCAAAATATTTTAAATTTGCAAAATAATATAGCAAATCAACCACACATGGCCACCATTCATGAAATATATCAAATATTACATTCCCCTCTTAGTCAAATTCCGAATTATATAGGAAAAGAGCCCCCGGATGAGTATTATCAAAAAATTATTAATGTTATTGATTCTATAAATACTGTAATTACAACCGCAAATAATGCCAATGCAAATACATTTACTGATGCACATATATGCGATATCTTAAAAGGTAAAATGGGCGAAAAGTTTTCCCCCATACCAGCTAATGATCCATATACTCATGGTAATCCTCTTATTAATACTCCAGCAACTTTTCAAGTTTGGTTACGTCATAAATATCGTGAAGTAACAGCTGGAAATTCAGAGTTGGCTTTACAGGCGCTAATGCAAGAAAAATTTAATCCATTAGATACTCCAGATACTTATGAAGCTAGAATTCGAAAGATTATAGTAGGTTTTCAAGATGTAATAGTTATACCAGCATTATATACCCATCTTCCTCCTGATCTACGTAGCAATGTAAAAATGTATATGTCTATAAGAGGTGGTAATACAACTATAGATAATTTCTTTGCAGATTTAAAAAAATGCTGGCTTGAACGTCAATCTGGAAACAATAGTATACAACCAACGTTAATAAATCAACAACCAACATTGGATATTTTAACCAATTTTGCTCAACGTTTAGGATATTCCGGTAATTTAGCCGATTATAATCAAATGCAAAAATATATTGAAAACGATCTTTATAGAAGGCAGGTTCAAAATATCAAAAATGAACCGTTTGAACCACAAAGAAAATTATATGCTACAAAACAACCTGCTTCTAGAAAGGTAATTATAACAAATAAAAATTCAAGACAATGCTCAATTTGTAAAAAAGTTGGACATAC